TAAATTCCCAAATTAGAAATTGACAGTGTTGCTGTTAGGAAGCAAACATGAAACTATCTTAAGCCTCTCTGCGTGTAAATTGTAATTGGAGAAAAGCAACAGAGGGGGATGATGCCAGAGCAGATAAATGAAACACATAGGTACCATACTTGAAACTTATCAACAACACTCACAGACAAGTAGGTAGAGAGAGACGTGGGAGAGAGAGGAAGGAGGGAAAATGGAGGAGGATGAAATGAAATTAGGGTTTGGGTGGTATAATATTTAATTACCTGAATTTTGATTAAAAAAATTTCACACCTGATTTTTGCACTTTTAAGTTTAAAGACTAGATCTATGTAATTTTCCCTTGAAAAAGCCCTCATCGGAACATAGCTCACCTCTCTAGACAAAGATTCAAATAACAATCTTTTTCCACTAACTTGCTGAAAACTTTGAGAATAGAAAACAGAAGTCAAGCACCTCGTATGAAGATTCAATTGCTTAAACATTGTGATTAGCATCTTAATTTGTTTTGCTAAATAAATGTTTACTAGCATCTCAATATTCACCAGGCACGAGCGAATAAATCAACTTGCACGTGAAAAGTTGACTTTCAACTTTATAGTCCTACATTGTATTAGGTAAAGCAATTATAAAGGATGGTGAATTCATAGAATTTGACCCTAAGGATTAGAGAATCATACCTGTTGCCAATATAATATTTTGGCATTTGTTGGATTGTATATTTATGAAGAAGAAATTACACCAAACCCTGTTTTTAAAGATCATTATTCTAAAATCAGAAATGAGGTTTAATTATTTACAAATCAGGTAATAATTTAATTATTTATATTAATAATAATATTATAAAATCTATCCACTCCACCCCCATGACACCTACTGCAAAAACCGTAACCCATTTCAATATTTTCTCTCTCCCTTCACTCTTCGCCATTATCCCTTCTTTCTTTATTCCCATCCTATTCACCCATTGGAAGTTGTAGTGATGACATCCATCCATCCACTAGAAATCGTAGCGGTGTTGAGAGCATCGTGCACAGAGGCGTTCGACGTTGCGAGAGTCGCTACGAGACGATGCCCACACCGCCGTGCGGTAAAGCAACGAGTTGTTCTCACATGTGCTCTTGCTCACGACGCTCACACATCTGCGTTTAGTGACACTCTTTGTGCAACAATGGATGTTAAAGTGGCAGAGGTAAACAAGTTGTGGAGCTTACAGAGGTAGGTGGCCGTCGGAGTGGTGGCGTCATGGCTTTTTATCAGTGGTTGTTGCGGTAGTTTACTACGAGTGTAGGTTGAGGCAAAAATGGGGCAATGCTGAATGGTGGTATTTTTAAAAGCAGAAATCAACAATGAGAAGAAATAGATGTGGGTATTGTGGCTGATGATATTGGATCTAATTTTTTGTGGTATTTGGGTGGTGGTGTTCATCGTGATTTTAGCTAAGGTGGTGAGGTTGCAGTGATTGTGGCAGTGCTGGTGAGGTGGTGGTCGTCGCAATCGTGGCAGTGGTTGTGGATGGGATGGAGTGGGTGAGGTATTTGTGACCAATTATTTGGTTGATTGTGACCAATAATTGGTTAACTTTTGATAAATTAATAATATGTGACCTAAAAATTATAACTGTGACTCACAATTTATTAAGTTATAATCGAGTTGTGATCAATAAAAGTAATACGTGACATATAATTTGATATTTGTGACCATAAAATAAGTTGTGTGACTTATAAATTTTTAATTTGTGACCGATAAACAAACTGTAACCTATAAATTTTTTGAATTGTGACCTTAAAATTCTTGAATTGTGACCAAATTGTATAGATATGTGACTTTTATATATTTAT